ACACACAAAAAAAAGAAAAAAAGAAAAAAAAAAAAGAAAGAGGAGAAAGAAAAGCCGTTAAAAATATTTTAGGTCACAATTTTGAAACAGATTTAAGCCTTTCAAGCTGCATTAGATAGAGGTGGGGAAACGGGTTTTTTTCCAGAGAAGCTTTTGATTTCGTTGTCCTTTGGGTTTTCCCAGAATTACGACATCCTATCGATAAGGTTTGTGCTCATTACAAAAAGAAACAGAAAAAAATGTAACGGACTGATAGCTTTTTCTGTACTATTTTTTTGTCTGTTTGTTTGCCTGTCTGTGTTTGACAGTTGGTCGCTTTTAAGCACAAGTGGACTATCCTGAAAAATGCTGTTTTGAGAAAATCGAAGGTAAAGTTTTTGCCCCTTGTTCAGTTTCATTTATAGAACAAGGAGAGTTTTCTCTGTAACAAAACAGATATACACACCGATGAAACCAAACTTCTCCTATAGGTTGGGCAGTGCCTACTTTTGGTCTAGGTCAAGATTTCTGGAAACACTCGAAATCTGGGTTAGCCCGATTGCCTGTCTGTGTTTGACAGTTATAAAACTATGTTGCGAATCAAATGCGTATTCGAAGTACACAACGTGTGTCGAAGCTTTGAATCCTTCTCTCGATGACATCACGAAAACAACCGCTTTTAATTCATCACGTCAATGACGTAGATGTAGGGGTGGGGTTGGGTTGGGGGGTTAGGGTGGGGTGTTGGGTGTGGGGCAGATTTATCTTGTCATGTGTGAAGCTGACGTTGCCACGTGTTGCACGTCTGGTAATTTTGACTGTTTTTTTTTTTAGAGTGCAAAAATGAATAAATAAATAAATAAATAATAGGAGAAGGGGGTTGGGCGTAAAACTGGATACAAGAAATTCACTTTTTAAACCAGCATTGTATTTCCATGTACAAAATATGTACCTCGCTGTGATTGGCATACAAATCAATGTCTCCGCTTGATCATGATCCTGGAGCAGATCTTGTAGAGAGTGTATCCTGAATTGTTTCTCAGAAATTGTAGGCCCATTTTTGTCCTGTGTCTTAGTAAAAGGCGTCGCCGTGAACAGAAATATAGAACTGATCAACTGCACGTAACTTCTCTTTCAGAAACAAAATATCATAATCAGAATACACTTTCTTTCTTTCTTTCTTTCTTTCTTTCTTCATTCGTTCATTTTCACCGACAATCTCCAGTGACTAAGCATGAATAACTTTCTGTTCACCAATGATGAGTCATTCAGTCCTCTCTCAGAAGTAACTCGAACACTCCAATGTAAATTTTGTCATATCATTACGCTGAGTCTTTTTTTTAATGTTGATTCGACGATCTGGTTGAAAAGATTATCTCAATAGTGGGTGGGGCTTGTGCACTCCACACCCCCCTTCCCTTTATCCGCCTCCTCTTTGCTGGCTGTTTTTTTTTTATAGGGCTCAGCTGTTGTCGTATGTCGTAGAGGGGGCATAATGTCGCATTGTGTAAGGTCGCTGAGAGATTTCCCCCCCCTTTTTTCAACGAAAAATCTCTCCCAACACCTCGTTTGAAGAGAGTAGATCAAGATCCTGGTGAAGAAGCTTAAGGGGAAAAGGAGAAAGAAAACGTTTTTATTTTGGTAACGTTATTTAGGACTTGTTTTGCTGTGCGCTGGAAAATGTCTCTATTACAGTTTTATTGCCTTTTCGTGGCCAGAGTTTTTGTGCAGATTTTCTTGCTGGTGTTTTGTTGAATTGTGCTGTTGAAGAAAGTATTGTTGTTGTTGTCTTCAACTCTCTCCCCCCCCCACCTCAAATCCTTTTCCGAAGTTTTCTTTTAGTTTGAAAAAGAGATTGGAGTGGG